CCCACTTCATCGCACTCCGCGGCTCCCCCCAACCCTTCTGAACTCCCCACCCCCGCGACCGCGACGACGACGACGACGCCGACGGCGACGACGACGACGACGACGACGACGACGACGACGACGACGACCAGCACCACGACGACGACGACGACGACGACGACGACGACGACAACGACGGCGGCGGCGGCGTCGGCGCGGGCCGGCCGGCCGGCGAGCGCGGAACACCGATGACGACAACGACGACGACGACGACGACGACGACGACGACGACGACGACGACGACGACGACGACGACCACGAGGACGACCACCACCACCACCACCACCACCACCCCCGGCCCACAAGAGGGGCGGGGGGGGGGCCACCACGCCACGCCACGCCCACAGTGGGGGGGGCCATCGCGCGGGGGTGGGCCCGATGGCATGAGCATGAGGGGGGGGGGGCAGACCCTGGACCATCTATCTCATATCCATTCGTCGATCCGTCCATCCATCCGTACCTCCATTCATCCATCTAGTCCTCCCTCCCACCCCACGCCCACGCCCCAAAGACCCATCCTCCTCGCTCCCACGCAGCACCCCCCCGCCCCCACAGGAGCCCCCCCCACTCCCACAGGAGCCCCCGACCCCACGACCACAGGGGGGTGGGGCGCCGGTGCGCCCGGTACAAATCCACTGGGGAAAGAGGGAGATGGGGAGTTCCAGGTCGTCGGCGGCACCTGGCGCGCCCTGTACGAACCCCCCCGGGAAGGCGGGGGGGGGGTCGTGCCACGGGGCACCGCCGACATATGCATATATATATATATATATATATATATGTATATATATGTATATATTTATGTTCATATATATATATGTATATACACACATATATATATATGTATATATATATGTATATATACACATATATAACACATTACCAAAAAAACATTCCTAACAGACTCCCGCACCCCTGCTTCCCTACGTGCTTCTGGCCCCTCCCTCCTCCACCACATCCTACTCCTTCCACACTCCGCCCTCCATCCCCCATGTTCGAACCGTCTATGAAAAATCACTTTGATCTGAAAGGCTCAAAAGTCTTGGGTGGTCATCCATCCCTCTTTCATACACAAGCTCCTCACTACATCCGAAGTTAAGCTGTCTGAGTTCTACTCTTCTCTCTCCTCGCGATGCTGGGTTTGCCTGCCCCCGCCTATCAGATACTGTTCCTTGCACAGAGGATTCTCCCGACTTGGCGGTCGATCATATCTTGTTGCATCTGTTCCGCTGCAGCATTCGCCGCGTTTCAGGATTGCCAGCTTGCTCCCGTCGTTCGGGTTTGTGCTCTCGCACGAGCGCAGGCAGCATCTGTGGATCCGAACTGCTCCTAGTCGTAACTGTCCCCCGTCCCCCTCCTTTTCCCGCATCCGCCTTCCCCTGGTCCTTCTCCTCCTACTTTTCCTGCTCCTGCTTCTTCCTCCTCATCCTGCCCGTCCTTTTGTTTATCCGCCACATCCTACTTGTACCCCTTTCCATGATTGCGCGCCATAAAGCGGGTCGTGTTGGGTTCCAATGGCACCTAGGACACATACCGGCTGGCGGATCAAACATGAACGCAATTGGAATGGATGTGTGGGAGGGGGTGATGCCAGATATGAAGCGCGCGAATCTAGCTTGTCCCTACTCTTGTCCTCCCTCTCTCCGCCCTCCTCCCCGCTGCCCTTCCCCCCGATCCTTCCCTCCTCCCTCCTCTCCCTCCTACATAAACTAATCCCTGTCGCCCCTACGGCACTCCCCGCGCTCCACTCCTACGCAACCCTCCTTGCTCATGATGAACTCCGCTGTCGCCTGACAAGCGTGCCCGCAGCAAGGCGGGCAAGACTCTTCGCCTGAGACTTCACCACAGCTTATGATCCAAAAGGTCCGAAGTTCCCAACAGCTGCACGGACAACGGCCTGGCCGTTTCCGAGAAGTGGACCTCGACTCAACGCAGCCCACGGCCGTCGTACAGGTTCAAGCCGTTACACGGGTGGAGGCGAGGCTGTTCTCCAAGTGTGGCGCTCGTCTCTGCGCCATGCGCGGTCCACTTGCTTTCGCCTTCGGAGCCTGCACGGGACCGGCGCAGGCACAGTGGCGTTAGAATGCGTCCCTCGCCCGAGCGCCGCGCGCTTTCGTCTCCGACTGACTGCGTCTCCCAGCAAACATGACCCCATGACCTGATGACAAATTTCGGACAGAGGGTTGGGGAGTCGGCAAGCTGTCCTGCCGCAGGACCGGCATCGCCTTTTCCTCCAGGGTAAAAAAACAACACCCTGACGCCGACGAGAGCGCGCGTTCATCTTGTTCTATCCCGTTTCCATGTTGCGCAGATGGACGTGACAGTGTCCCAGATACAGCCGTCGCCTTAGCGCTTAGCGCCTTGCGCATCCGATCTTGAAGGCTCCCCTCGGGTCGGGCGAAAGGGGGGGATAGCAAAGGGGGGGTTTGAGAATCAGCTCACGTAGCTGACTTTCCCGGCGCCTCCCGGCGCCGGAGGCGGCTATGTATCGAGGAAGGGGCCCCTCGGTGAGGCCGAAACCAGCTGCATGCAGCAAATTTCGTAA